CCACGTAGGAAACCTGTGGTGGATTATAGGATTTTTTAGTAAGGTACCCCTAAGAAATCGTGTCACATGAGGATGTTGAGAAATTACCAGGTTGTCAAAAAGAGGCAATACTGTGACGAGAGCCGCGACTTGACGTCTCAGGGTACTAGTTCTCAGACCCTTGTCCATACCTTCTTGTAAGAAATCTAGGACGTCGCCTAGAATGAAGAACTACTTTGTCCACTTGAGCCTCACATCTCGCCTCCAGATCCAAAACATAGTGACATTCAAACATGCCTGCCGACAACAGATCTCCGTCAAGGCACTCCATCTAGGAAAGCTGCAGAAGAAGCCATTGCCCTAGTGGAATGGGCATGAATGTTCAACAGGCATGGCAATCTGGCCCTATCATAACACTCCCTAATGGTCCTCCTGACAATCCATTGAGACAGGGTTTGAGATGACGCTCTCCTACCTCTCTTAGGGCCACAAAAACAAACAGGGCTCTATCCCTGCGAAACTCCAGGGTTCTCTTGGTGTAAAATAACCATGTCCTCCTAACAACCAAATAATGCAATGAGTGCTCATTCTCAGAGCTTGGTGCAGGAAAAAATACAGGCAAAACGATATCTTGGGATCAATGGAACCTAGAAACTACCTTAGGAAGAAACCTAAGACTAGAATGTAGGACTAACCTTTCAGGAAAGAACTTCAAAAACAGGGGATCTATCTGAAGAACTACTAGCTCACTCACCCTCCTGGCTGAGGTAACAGCTACTAAGAAACCCACTTTCATCAAATGTTCTGCCAAAGAACAGGTAGCCACAGGTTGAACATGGGTTCCAAGGCTTTAAGAGCTTTCTCCCACAACGCCTTAAATTTTGACACCCTATCCCCCCCCCCAAACTTTAGGGGTGAAGTGTTGGCAGGTCTTACATGTGGATACTATGCCCTTCACCCAAACAGAAGAGAGAAAGGTCGTCTTCCTCAGTTTAGGTCATCTTCGCTGCACATCAGGAGCACTTCTTGAAAAGGGCTTTCTGAGCCATGGAAGGAACCCAGAAGCCAACATAGATTTGATGAATCTGGACAAAATCCTCTCAACTGTAGCTGGAGACTCCAAAAACATGACCACCTCCTTCAGGGGCAAAAGGTGAACTGAGGGTAAGGGGACGCTGCTGCATAGGACCACATGGTCCATGGGCAGGAACAAGCTTCTGATTCTGGTGCACAGTGCCCCCTGGAGACTTTTAGCTGTAAAGGCCTATTCAATGGTGGGCCTGCTCATGCACAGTCCCCGTGTGGGACTGCACAGAAGACTAATGAAGAAATTCCTTCCACTCTGTACTTCTGTGGAAATGTAACATTTCATCCAGCCACGGACACAATGGCTAAGACATGTGAAGGATTAACATTAATATACTAAAGAGTTCAGCAGTTATTTGCGGGGCTGGGTTGGCAGCTCTTGAGAAGATGAGGCCTTCCTGTGCTGTGTTGTTAGTTATGGAAATGACTTGCAGGTTTTCAGTGACTCAACCACTGTAGGATGTAAGTTAACTGACATTGTTTAGCTGTAATTTGGAAACTAGGCAAAGATGTATTTAGAACTGGGCTGAGAAAAAGACGCTTTCCTTTGTATGATAACACTGGATGACACAGACCATATGGGGGCACTCACAGTAGGATTTTTGGTCATACTGTTCCATGGCCCAAGAACCCCAAGGTATCAGTCTAGTGTGTGTCACTGGACTACAGTAGCATTAGCAGCACTAAGCAACCCAACCAGGCCTAGCTAACTGTAATGCTTCATTATATGGAGGGCAAAACAAGAAGCCACCCAGCAGCCTCCATAATGAAAGGACAGGATCTTGAAAGAAAATGAATCATTGAAGATCACTGGGCTCAACCTTGAAATTTATTGATTAAAAGGCAATATAAAGGAATGTGTAACCAAGCCCCAAACAAAAGAGTTTTCTGGAGGCTGCAATTGTGAGCATAGTGCTCTGCCACTGATCTTTAGCTACTGGCTGCTTTAGAGCTGTGTTCCATGAGATGGTTTAGAAATATCTGAAACTAGGAATAAGGCCCATTGTGGAAATAAATACAATGAGCTCTAGAAAGAGGCTCTGGGCAGGTGCCCTGGCCTTGGGTACTCAGCGTCAATTTGCTGTGGTGACCTCAGCAGGGTATAATGACACAAAGCTCACCGTTTTCTCCAGGGGAACTGAGCTCACCATTTTCTCCAGGGGAACTGATCTCTGCCATATGAAGTTGTAATTCTGAGCGATCTCCAGCCCTCCCCTGGAGATTGGCAACAATGGTTCCCCAGGAGGAAATGGCTTTGGATGGGGTCTATGGCTTTGTACCTGAGGTCCCACCCCTCCTTAATCCCCACTCTCTCCAGGCTTCATCCCTCAAATCTCCAGAAATGTTCAAACCCAGAGGTGGCAACCTTATTTCCTTCCCAGCCAATCGTCAACGTTCCATTATCTGCCCACTCTGACTTCAGGTTTCCATCTTTCCCCCTTCCCTGTAGCCTCTACGTAGGAAAACTACAATCTTTCTCCGCAGTGGTGACCCAAACAGGAGAGAAGTGACCTCAGCAGAGTAGCTGCAAGGCAGCTGTTTTTTCCAGGGGAGCTGATCTCAGCCATCTGGAGAGCAGTTTTAATTCTGAGTGATCTCCAGCCCTCGCCTGAAAATTGCCAGCAATGGTTCCCCAGGAAGAAAAGTAGTCTTTCTCCGCAGCGGAGACCAAAGCAGCCCACATCATTCTCCTCTTGATCTGCACAACCACCCTGTGAGGTAGGTTAGGCTGAAAATCTGACTGGTCTGAAATCACCCACTCAACTTCCACAGCAAGAACCTGGGTCTGGCAGACCCTGCTCTGAAGCACTAACTGCTACACATAGGGTAGCCAACCTCCAGGTGGAGCTTGAAAATCATCAGGTATCACAACTGCCCCCTGGAGAAAATAACTGCATTGGAGGGTGGGCTCTATGGTATTCTATTCAGCTGAGGCCTCTCCCCTCCCCAATCTCTAGCTTCCATGGACTCCACCACAGAATATCCAGGACTTTCCCAACCTGGAGCTGGCAACCCTAGTCACGACTGGCCCCAATGAGTTCCCCACAAAGGCCTGGAAAGCACCTCCTGCCTTTTTACTGACAGAACCAAGCATGGTTGCCTAGCAACAGCCACTGAGGGAAAAACTAGTGCCACAGGAGCCAAGCAGGTGAAGTGTCAGGCGAGACAGCCATTTGGCAGTTTATTCTGTGAGAGAAGAGTGCCCAGGCTGGCAGTCAGTGGGGGAGAGGAGCGGACCCAGCCCCCAGCACACATGTACCCGTGTGGCAGTTGATAGGCCAATGGCTGATGGAGCACACTGCACAGCCAATGGGAGAGCTGGAAATGGCAAATACGTAAGGGAATTATATATATGATAAGAGGTTCAAGGTGAATGTTTGTCTCTTTGAAAACCTGGCACTAATGTATGTGGCTCCAGCTGTAAACTAAAACCTCCTGAAATTAGTTCTGTTCACAGTTGCTATACTATTACTTATAATCCAATTTACACTATGTTGGGGCAGATAACATAATGCCTGCCTTTTTGTCTTACAAAAGCTATAGTTTGTGCTTGGGCACTAAGGGCTAATTCATATAATTATACAGAAATGTGGTTGCGCTTGAAGCCAGGGCAGGCACACCTGCTGCCTATGGTAAGTTTTCTGAAGGGAGCTTCCTGAAACTCTTGTTCTCTAAGGTGAGTGGCCTCAAATCTGTTTTACCGCAGACCAACATGGCTACTCGCTGAAAACCACTTCTACCAAGTTACTTATATGACACATGTTCAGGGGAATGTGGAACTGTGTTCAGAAAATACAGAAGTCAGTTTTTAATGTGCCCAAAGCAAACAGAGCAAATCTTGTGCTAGTGGGCCAGGTTCCTTTTTATACAAAAAAAGACTAAACTTCAGAATGTGGGTATCAACTCTTGCGGGAGCTAAGGAACAACACAGACTGCAAGCAGTTATAAGAAAAGCTGGTTTTAGAGCTACAGCTTATGTACTCAACACTGCTGTCCTCCCAGCCAACTCTGCTTTTCATCAGTTTAGTAGCTCTATGACAACTACTACACACAACAAACCCCACATATACTGTTTGGTTAGTAATTGCTGCCAACCCATCTGGTTGAATATCTCTGCTCCTTTTATGCAGCCTTGAAGGCTGCTATGAATACCCAAAAAATCTGTTTTGAGTTGCAAGCTCAGCACATTTAAAACAAACTTTTTGGTAAGAATTCTGGCCTTGAAATAGGATGAAGTCAAGTTTTGTATTATTAACTCCAACAAACCTGCGCCTTAAAAACAGGACATAAGTAAAGCTTTTAGTTTGTATCTTAATACCATCCCACAGGCAGAAGTGGATCACTTCTTCCCCTGGCAGCCCTTTCTGACATCCTGGGGGAAGGGGGGGGACGGACTGTCAGAGAAAAAGTCAAGAGGATGAAATAACAAGGGGAATCAGCAAGATTGCCCTCCTCCCTTATGTCGGCAGAACAGAGGCAGGATGGAAACAGTCAATAGATCTACGTTTCTGCCATTAATGTTGATTCACTTGAAGCACAATGAGTGAGTTTAGAAAATGTTGCAAAAAATTTGAGATGTTCAAATTATTTTAGTGCTTCCAAAGATACGCCATTAACCGGTGGCAAAATGTAGGTTAATCTCATCTGAAACTGAATTTACACAGTAGATAATAGTCTAGTTTTACCTCCTTACTAGAAGCACACCAAGAAAATACAAAGAGGTCAGTGTTTAAGGAATTTTTATTAAAGCAAGAATTTTATAATCCAAATTATGGTTCTGTGTTCAGCTGTCAGTTTGTACTGTCAACTATAACAGTAGTGATATTCTGAGCTTTTTTCTCCACAGTAACTTACAAAATTAAAGAAAGGAATGCTTTAAATTTTTTGTACTGTGCTGAAAATTTTTTCCCCCGGGTTTATAAAACATTAATTTGTTTTTTTTCCTTTTACTATTTTTTTTTGTATTTTAAATCAATAGGTAATCGAGGACTAACAGTTTTGCTAGTCCTGGCGCTTGTTGTGTACATAAGCTTCAAAGTTTCCTTTCCTTTTTTTGTTTCATTTTATATTTTTGCAATGTTTTTCTCAATATTTAATAATTTTTCCATGTTTAGATTTTTTTCTTCGGTGAAGCGAAGTTATAGTGCGCAGTCCCGGATCATCTGTAAGGAAAAAACCCATCTATTAATACAGAAATATGTTTTGAATTTCAAAAAGAGTGCATCTATATTATCTTCTGTAGCTTTTGCTGAAGTTGCATTCCTGAACTTTCCTAAAGGCAGAAATCTGCCAGTAGAGCATAACTTTGTCACCCCCTCCACCCTGCTACAGCTCAAAATACCTTTCAAAGTACTGCTCTGGAGGGATGAGGGACACCCCCCCCCCCCCCCCGGAACAGCATTTCAGGCTGCAACAGAAAGAGAAAGATCAGAAAATTACACTCTGTGGGCAGAAATCCCTCCACATGTGGAAAAGCTCCCATGGATCCAAGCTAAAGTGTCACTTTTTTGCATAAATTAAGCAATTAATTCAGAATGGTGCATTCTTGAGAGACAGGATTAGGTCAATTCGGATTACATCTACGTTTGATTACTGTAATGTGCTCTTGGGGGATGAGGCTATGTAGATGGTTTGGAAACTTCAATTAGGGAATTATCTCACCAATCCTGAAAGAGATGCACTAGCTGCCAATTTGCTTCTGGGCCCCAATTCAAAATGCTAATTATCACCTTTAAGGCTGTAAGTGGCTTGGGACCAAGGTACCCAAAGGACCATCTGCTCCAGGGAGGCTGCCCACCAATGAAGGTCCTCTTCCATCTACATAAATTTCCTGAAGTGGGATACATAGCCACAGAGGACAAGAATGTGGTGCTGAACTGTGTGAAATGCCCATATCCATCCACAGGGCACCAAGTCTTCAGCACCAGATTAAAACATTTGTTTCTTGAAGTATTTTTGATGATCTGTTGTGTGTTTTTAGACCCACAGCTTGCCTTAATGATATTAAAAATGAGATTTTGCTCTCTGGGATATTTACTACTTGTTTTGGGTATTTTAAAAAATACACCTGGAGATACCACTAACCCAGCTGGTAAGTTTATTTCTTAAAAGATTCCAGTGGTTCCTTCATATGACTGTGTTTTATATATTTCACTGTAAGCAACTCAGGAACAAAGTTTTGGCTATGAATAAATGATACAAACATAATTTAAAAAATTCTAGTGGTAATTACAAACCTAAGTTTTGTTTTAAGAACAAGACAAGTTCAGTGTGATCTCAAATCTAAAGGGAAGAACCATTCTGCTATTTTCCAAGAGGATGCTGCCCCCACACTTACACACAAGTCATTTTTAGCTGTGTTTACAGTAGTACACTCAGTTAAAAAAAAAGTGGGAGTTAATGCTTTAACTTCACCCACTGTGAGATCTATGTAGGAAAACTCCTCATTTTGATACCCCATAAATTACTGATAGAAAGTACCAGCTGATAACTTGTCCTCCATTACTATAGGCACTTCAACTATCAAGCCGCTATTGCTCCTTAGCCCCTCTATTGTGAGGCTACATCATCCCCAACACAGGTACAGGTGCATGCACATTTCAAAGCTGTCTTTCTGGCACCTGAAGAAGTGATCAGTTACTCACAACGGCTCAAGCCCTACCACAAATTTTGTTAGTCTTAAAGGTGCTACTGGACACTTACCCTTTTCTACTACATTTGAAGCTAATATGTAGTATATGTTTTAAACTGTTTTGTATATATTGTTTTATCATGGCAAGTTGTTCTTGCCTCTGTGAGCCGCCCTGAGCCCACTGGGGAGGGCGGGGTATAAGTATGAAAATAAATAAATAAATAAATAAATAAATACATATTCTCTATGATACTTACATTAGACACTTGGAACACCTGCTGGATTGTTAACAGCTTTCTGAGCAGCTTCTTTAGCTTGGTGGGCTTGCAGTACGGCTACAGCTTCATCAACCTAGTTACAAAAACATTTTTTCTGTAAAAGTAAGCTAGTTCAACTGTAACTGGTACTTAACATGAAATTATAGACACAAAACTTCCACCTACCTTTGAACGAAGAGATTCAGGAGACTCAAGCATGTGAAGGAGCTCAGAGTTGTCAATCTCTAACAGCATACCAGTGATTTTACCCGCCAGAGTGGGGTGCATGGCTTGAATAAGAGGGAACAGCCGTTCTCCTAGAAAACAGTTGACAAGTTTACAGAATTAACAACACCTCTTAAAAAATAGTTTGTCTACCTTGTTTGACTGAATTTGCCTTTGAAATGTCTCTGAATACAGCATATTAACTAGATGCATATTAAAAAGTAATTCTTCAAACTAGCATTTACTGGAATTGGAAAGCTATTCTAAACAACTCTGTATGTTAAACATGCACCGCATATCTTGAAAATTTTCTGAATGTTGGACTACTATAAAAGCATATACCCCAAGTGTATATATCCTCCACCATGCTTTCCACTTCTACCTAAAATCCACACTCTCTAATTTTTCTAGCTTTCACACAATCTCAGTCCTCTGTACCCTCAGAGTTTAACATTACAGTATCTGCAGAAGCCACCATCTACATTTTCAAGCATCCAGATTTTTTTTTCTGCAGACATTAGCAATAACATATGCCACCATAATCAGTGGGATTGGCATCCCCAGAGTCACAGGCTCATCCAGAAATGACTTACCCAGCATTTGCTTCTGTTCTTGTGGAGGGGCAGCAGCCAACATTGAAGCAGTCAAAGGTTCCTGACCTTGCACGTGGACAGCAGGCTACAATTTAAAACATTTCACAATATTAAATTAGTTCTCAGATAATATCTTGGTATGGTCTGCTAATCTGAACCCTGGCAAACTAGAATGCCTGCACATTAAAAGGCAGTCAACTGATCATACTTTAAAAAGCAGTTTCACTATAGTTAGTAATTCCCCCAATAAGCTTCTTGAAAGGAGGTCTAAATACATGGTTGTCCCCTTCCTTTATCTTAATAAGTCTGTGAACTAGGTTAGGCTGAGAGTCTGGTTGGACCAAAGTCACTGGGTAAGCTGCTGCTGCTACCTCTGAACAGAGATCTGAACTAGTAAACTGGTCCTAGTCTAACCATTACATATCAGCTATTAAACGGCATTATCTTCTATCCTGGGCCCTAGACCTGTTTATTGACAAAAAGAACCCCTGCCATTACAAGTTTTTATGTTCTTTGCAGCTCTGAGGAGACACATGATAAACCCCCATAAAACTAGACATACAGCCTGAACCTATCCAAGCCAGGAAAACCTAGACCTACTGATTTAAATGGGTTTAGGCATGGCTAGCCTGGCACAGGATCAGTTAAGGCTTTGAAGCTCCCCCCAATAAAATTTAGTGTAATTTTATTTACCTGCTGCATAGCAACCTGGGGCTGAGTATTAAGGTGTTGCTGAGGATTGCGAACACCTGCAGCATACTTGTACTGTGGAACGGTGCGCACAGCTGGAGTAGCTGCAGCTGCTGCTGCGGCTGGACGTGGACCCATAGTTTGGGTTGATGTGTTAGCTGAAAAAAGAAATTTTAGACTACACAGGGGGCTCTGTTGGAATCACATTTCCATAGACTTCCTTGTGCCCTCTAGTTTAAGAAATATATTTAGCTCAAATCTGTAGGCACTATTTGAGCAGCCTGCATCAAATGTCCTGCTACCTCTTTCTATCTATTGGACTCCAAACTCACCAACACGCTGTGTTGACATCACTCTTGGAACCTGTGATGAAGCTGGCCTCATGGTACTGAATGGTGGTCTGGGAGCTGCAGGGCGGATGGCACCTGTCATGTTCTGGAAAGCTGCATTTAAGATAGCTCCTGGTTAAGTGTCCATTTCCAAACCAACGGAACAAATTCTACTTAGCCGAGCTGACACTTATGCAAATCCCAGTGCCCTTAAGCAAAGCAAGCCACTTACGATGAGGTCTGGCACCCTGAGTAGTCCAGCGAGGGCTTGGTCTGAGTTGAGCAAGTTGGCTAGTAGGATAGTACGCAGCACGGTTCTGAGTCTAGCAAAAACAGGGTATCAATATTACTTTTTATCCATCAACCCTTTCTTAAAACTTAAAAAAAAAGCTTGCTTTATAACATTATCACACTGGTCATTTGCAAACATTAGGTAAGTCTGTATACATTTCACATACAAGCTATTTTAAACATTACAACTATTTAGTCATTCTGGATGTATCAATTTCAGACTGATCAAGGACACCAAGGAATTTTAACCATACCTGTGGAATAGCTGCCATGAAATAACCTGAAGGAGGCGCTGGCTGGTAAGGATTGATGACCGGATTGGGCACTGCCCTCACACTTGCCATTCTCTGCATGTACTGGTTGGTGAGATGAGCTTGGCGTTCTTCCTTACGTTGGGCTAAGGCTACATACAGTGGTTTAGTGGCCACAATTCTACCATTCATTTCTGTAACCGCTTTGGTTGCTTCTTCTGGTGAGGAAAAGCAGACAAACCCAAATCCTTTACTTCGGCCCCCTTCCATCATGACCTGCCAAAATAAAAACACAGCCTTAGGTGAACAAGCACAGAAATGGGAACAAGTAGATGTAAATGTTTTTTTAAAAAAAATGTTACTGACTGAACTGTAAGACTATAAACTTTCCATAGTATGCTAGCCTGCTTCCTCTTGAAACAACTCAGATGGCAGGGGTCAACATGCAGCTATTTTGCTCACCAGGTGGGCAGGTTAATCAACAGGTTTTTTTATGGCATGGGCAGCTAGGTGCGGCAACTATAGCGCCAAATGTAGCAATGGATTCCAAGAACTGTGACTGCAACTCCACTTACACAACAGATCTTGCCCACTTCCCCTTAGTCCACCTAAAACGCTACTCTTAAGGGACAGGAGGACTTCTAGTAGTGTGGGGTACAGCTCAAGCATAAAATCTATGTAAACTGTGAGTGACCCCTGCTTAGGTGAAGGAAGTGCATTCTATTCCAAAGGCACCTTTAGATCTCATCTATAAGATCTAAAAGGCATGGATTGGTATGTTAAACCCATAAAGTTTTAGAGCAACAAGCAGTCAAAAGCTTTTAAAAAATCAGTGTGTAGTAAGACAGTTATGTGTGTGTTATGAATGAGGCTCACTCTGATGCTGAAACAACCCAAATTTATATGTTGGACTGGGGAATCAGATCCCAGGTGCACTACAGGAGATGATGCCAGTTTTAGTGTGATGGGAAGAGGGAAACCATCCACCAGCTGTCACCTTTGCTCTGATGGAAGTTCCTGCCTTCCAAGGGCACTAATTGGTCCCCATCAAACTGGGATATGTGGCCCCACCTCAAGCCATACAAGACAAGGATAATCCTGCAAGACAGCTCCATCCAAGGTTAGGAAAAACTAGTTAAAGGTTTTCTCCATGAAACTGACCTTTTCATTGACTTAGCTCAGGCAGCAAGCCAAGCAGCAGGCCAAAGAGAGTGAACAGAGTGCTGAGGACTCACCAACTGTGATAGTGTGTAAAGAATTGTTTCTATATACTTCGTTCAAAAATTAAGATATTCTTTAAAAACATAAGCAGCTAGTTTTCAGAAGAGCTACAAAGTCATTCTGAGCTGAAAATTACCAAGTTACTGTCAAATCATAAGAGCTGTTGAAAATCCAGATGTTACCTTTGCACTAGTGATTGTGCCAAATGGAGAAAATTCTTTGCGTAGGCGCTCATCATCGATTCCATCATCTAGATTTTTCACATAAAGATTAACTCCCTGAAAAATTAAATACAGAACATGTACTGCTTGCAGGAAATACAATCTACAGTGGAAACATTCTGTTCAGTTCAAGTTCTACCTGGTATCTGGTGATCCTGTCCTGCTTCATTTGCTCGAATTTACGCTTGAGCTCTGTTTGTCTTTCTACCTTTTTCTGAGCACGACCAACATATATCTGTTTTCCATTCAGTTCCTTTCCATTCATTTCATCTACAGCCTTCATAAAAAAAAGGATAATTTAAGTGTTTGCTGTCATTAATTTCACACATTTGTCAGTCTCCACAAGAGAAGCATAGCATTCAAGAGATTAAGAAAAAGCAAAGAATCAAGAATACAGACTATATGAACAGAGTGTACTATAGACTGAGCAGCTCTGCTTCCATGCTCCAGGTAGGAGAGGTGTCCCATACAAAGAATGAACTTCTGTACAAAGGTGACATTTGAAAGATACAAGAAATATTCCTTGGGTATTACATCAATATAAGACCTGCATTAGTAAACCAACAGTGCAAGTGAATACAAAGGCACATCAGAAAGGCAGATTCAGCATGCATTGCTGTACATGTTCATATACAAGATAAAGAAATCCAAAAACAAAAACTCAGTGATTAATTACAACAATGTACATGCACTTACTTTTTGAGCATCCTCATGTCTTTCAAAACTAACAAAACCAAAGCCTTTGGATTTCCCACTCTCATCAGTCATAACTTTCACACTTAAGGCAGGCCCTAAAAGACACACAAGATTTGTTACATACATTCAGTTTCCAGGGGTTGGATCCTAAAGTACTGCAGCTGCAGTAGTGCTCACAGAGAGCCATCCCACTTCCCTTCTTCCTGGTGTAGCCCCTGAAATCATGCAACTCCTGGAGTTTTGGTGGACCTTCAGGAGGACTTTGGGGTGCCTGCAAGGGAGAACTAGCAAAAAAAAATACTGCTTCCTTTATTTCCAAAATGTTATGCCCTATTTTCTTTTTAAGTGGGAGTCCTAGTTTGGGAGCATTACATCCACACAAGCACTTAGTGTGTTGTATGTTCCTACGCGTGAGCCAAAACATCAAGAATAGAGAACTACACTATGTAGGTACAGAAGCAAGAATATTTAATGAATGTTCATCGAAAAGGCTGCATAAAACCCATAGGCATAATTTAAAAATTCAGTTCTAATAGGAAAAAGTGATATTACCAAACTTGCCAAAGAGTTCCTTAAGTCTCTCATCATCCATGTCTTCTCCAAAATTCTTGATGTAAACATTTGTGAACTCCTTAGCCCGAGCTCCAAGTTCTGCTTCACGTTCTTTACGAGATTTGAACCGTCCAACAAATACTTTGCGATCATTAAGCAATATTCCGTTCATTTTTTCAATAGCTCTTTCTCTAGTTAGAAAAAAAGGTGAACAGCTGCTTATATGCCTTCAGTCTTTTCAAGTAATCATAAAGCAGAACATTCTGAAATGTTTAAAACATCTTTGCTCCAGTGAGCTCACTCAGCAAGTTAGGTGGTTTCCAGCTCACTGCAGTATTTCTTCAATTACGGAAATACCCGCGTATTAAACTTCATCCAAATTGTTTGTCTGTCTTGACATACAAATATATTTGGAATGGGGCAGGCATTGCATGCCATTGTGTATCCTGCACACACTGTAATGTGCTATGGTTAGGAATCCTGAGAACTTTACAAGAACAGTGAATGTTATTTGAACCTTGTTTGAAATACCAATCTTTAGCATCACCTGGCCACAGCATAATACTAAGACTTTGAATCACCTCAAAGACTCACACACAAGCAATACTGCAGAGTTTTCTTTTTCCAGAATAGCATTACTGAGCATAGTACCCAGGTAATTGCTGATCAGAATGTCTGTCCTAGTTAGGTTATATGTACTCTTCTTGTGATTGACAGCATTCTTCTTTTTCCCTTTCCCTCCCTTTTCTCTTCAGCCAAGATACTGTTCTTGTTGTTCTATGTATGCTAAAGGCACACAATTTTGTTGTTAAGAAAGTCTCTAAACTCTAGTGTTGCACTGCTCCAAACTAAGCAATTAAGAATGTTGGCCCAGTCTACTGAAGACTGAATTAACTAAGGCTTTCTTAATCACTGACATCCTTAGTCAATTTCATTTTCAAAACACGTATTTTTAGTTTATTCATTTAGCTTATTAATTGGTTGAGTTTTCCCAACAGAGGAACATGAAGTGAAATTGACTGAAATGAAAAAAGTTCTTCTCTGTGAAATAATCATCCCCCTATGGATAGACATCTTGTTTTATAAAGCTGGTATTTTTCCTTTGGTTTTAGGGCGGAGACAGCTATGACAAATCAAAAATACACATGCCTGAATTATTCTTTATCTGAACAGTCTGTTTTTCCTGTTTATAGACACCAAGTGAAACAGGTATAAAGAACAGATGAAGACACCTCACACATCCATACATCACTCACTGTGAAATGTAAGTTTTAATGTATGGAAACAATGTAGCAAAGACCAGAAGGGGGGGGGCTGGAAGCTGTGAGAGCAGTCTGAGAATGCATATACAACTGAGAGCATATGCAAACTGTTGGAACACAAATGAATAGTTGAATGTTCTTGCAAACAGCATGCAAGCCAAACCTCCTAGGCGACTGAACATCTCTGGAATGGGACTGTCGCTTAGTTTATGTGAAGTGATTTTTTTTTGCACTAACTCAGATTATAGATTTTAGTAATAAGCATTTCCATGTTGACATTTGACCTCTGAATTTTAAAGGCTCCGAAGAAACATTTGTGTACTCACACTTTGCGATCATTAAGCAACATTCCGTTCATTTTTTCAATAGCTCTTTCTGCAGCTTCTTGTGTCTCAAAGTGTACAAATCCATAGCCTTTGGATCCATTTTCATCACATACAACCTGCAAAGAATATTGTGACTCCTGTGAGACCATGCAAATGCAATTGTATTAACCGTGATGCTATTAATAACGTTCTACATTCTGTCCAGCTCACCTTACAAGACAGGATATTTCCAAAAGCAGAAAATGTGTCATACAAAGCTTTATTATCAATTGATTTGTCCAGGTTTTTAATAAAGATGTTTCCAACACCACTTTTACGCAGAGATGGATCACGCTGGGACCACATGATACGCACTGGCTTTCCTTTAATGACATCAAAATTCATTGTATCTAAAGCTCGTTCAGCTGCAAAGACAAAACAGTTCACATTAAATTATTTTAATCTCAGGACAAAGCAAATATGACATTTGATAGCCTTTCAGTTAAGAAACCTATTCTTAACTTCCCATACATGATTCAAGTTTCTCTTGTTTTCCTGAACGACACAAAATTCACCCACTATTCCGGCAATGTGATATTCAGTAAGCATTTCACTATTCTGGGTAATGGACTATGTGAAGAATGGCTCTTCAGTCCACAGTCTTCTGTAAAAGATCACTGTATTTGGCCAGCTTTGGGGGACTGGTGTAAGAAAGCAATGTCAATCTCCCAGGGCTAAGAAGACACTAGGAACAAACAAGCAGGCTGCAAACTAAGGACAGCTAAGGACAATCAAGCCAATGGACATGCCAACAGGCTCTGCCAGTGTAAGATCAAAGGAGGGAGAGATCACACCCATACCAGAGAGAATACCAAAGGATAGCTAGGCCACCTTTCCCTTTCAAACAGGAAGGGACAAACATTTATTTATGTGATTCATAGTCCACCTTTCTCACTGAAACTCAAGGAAGATTACACAGTGCAAGTCAAATATATAAGCAACAGCATCCAATAAACAAGGCAATAGGGTGTGGATTACCAAAAATCTGAAAACAGGGCTGAAAACATCCCAACTACAAGGAGCATAGGTTATAAATTCTCTGGTCCCCAAACGGAAGCACTCTCCAGCATTGCTCACATCTCTAGACATGCCAGCTGGCATGAAGGACTCCCTCGGATTCCATTTTGACCACATGTAAGCACACAATGGGATGAAATCCAAACCTCTAACTCAAGGTAATGGAACTTCTGAGGGCTTGTACCTTTAAGAATTGTGCCTGTTCCTTTAATTACACCAGTCAGGGATAAGCATAGTAAGGATAAGATGGACTGAAGTCTGCCATGTTATTTTCCATCTTTTGCTCAGTCCTGCTGTCTATAATTAATCTGGAGTGTGTATATGATTCTTTTATTAAGCCTTTATAACCTGAACACTAGAAGTCTGATTTCTGTACTCCACTAATACCATATCCTACTCTTAACCATATTACCAAAGGCAAAGGAAGGGGAGAGGGCAAGTTCACTCCTTCATCCCCGACT